CACTACATCAACGCCAACCCCAAGCTGGTGGACGACTACTGGCGCCAGGTCAGCACCCAGAAGTCCCTTGAGGTCGACCCCCGACACCTCCACTGGCAGCCCCTGCAGACGGCAAAGCCCAAGTGACGCGCCGACGCGTGCCACGACCACCCGCCCCTCGATCGTGGGGGCGGGGCTGGGGGCGATGAGTTTGATTCGGGTGCTGAGCCCCCGGGCCGCCCTCGCGCCCTGGCGGGTCCTTAGCCCCGTGCTGACTGTGACCCGTGACCCGTTGTGATCGCGGGGCGTGGATGCTTCTCCTAGCTTCACAGACCCTGCTAGCGCAGCGCTAGGGTACTTCTATAGGCGTGACCAACCTTTGACTGACCTTTGACCAACCTTTGATGTGCCTTTGACCAACCTTTGATGTGCCTTTGACCAACCTTTGATGTGCCTTTGACCGGCCTGTGACGGACCCTTGACCGGCCCCCCGCCCTGACGCACTGTCACCCTTACCTCCTTGCACCCAGCCCTGCACCCGGTTGCCCCCCATGACCTTCAACCGTCCCCCCTGCAATTGACGTGCGCCGGCCCGGGCCACTCGGCCTCCTCTGCGCGGGCTCTGCCCTGCCATTGCTTGCGCCCCTCCCCTGAGCACGCAACAGCCCCCGGGCGAGCCACCCCTTAGAATTTGCTGCGTGCACAGAGCAGCGCCGCCGCGCCGCACCTGCTGTAACACGGCGCCTCAACCTGTCGAGTCTTTAGCCAGGTGTGGGCTGCAGGGCGCGCGTGCGGCCGCTGGTGACCAGCCGGCTGCTGCTCCAAACTAGAACAGGCTGCCTTTGCAGCGGTGCCGGTGTCTTTGCAGCTGCCACCTGTGCTGACGCAGCAGCCGGGACTGTATGTATGCAGCTGTAGCCAACGGCGGCAGCGAGCACCAGTCCACAGCAGGCATCGCTGGCAGCAGGCAAGGCCCAGGGAGTGGAGGTGATTGGGTCAGCGGCAGCACCTGCGGCTGCAAAATAAGCCATGCGTGCTTAGGGTTAACCTGAAGGTGCTTGCACACGGTTAAAATCAAACTGCAGCAGCTGTTGAGGCCAACCCCCGTGCGCAGTGGACCGACAGCAGCACTGACGGTTACACAACTGATTACACCGTTTTGCATACGCCACAAAACCCCTCACTTGTCAGTTCTGGCCCAAAACGTTGCCTTCATTTTTTCATATGTGCGTGAAAAATGTCCGTGCAATTATCTTTAGGATGTCAGCTGGTGCCCAATCAAACAAGGGCAGCGCGGCAACCGTCGCACGCGCGCTCAAACCACGCCCACCCACTTGCTGCCCTCGCGCGAGCGCGGCCCGCTTTGCAGTCGGCAATATCTGTAGCTTGTAAGTACTTGCACCAATATCTGGACCTACTAGGGTTGTCCATCTGTGAATTCACCGTGCTGCTCCCCACCCACGAAACGGGCGGCGCAGCGCGCGGGCCTCAAAGGCAAAATCGCGTCGCGACGGCCAGGTGCTGCTTGTCTGTCGGCGCGCGCGTGGCACTCGCCCCTCGGCTTGATGTGTGTTGTGTGCATAGGGGGAAGGGGGGGTCATGTGCCCGCAGCGACCTTCAAATCACCAATACCCCCGGGGCCATGCTTGAGATGTGGAGTCGTCCGGGAACCTCGTGAAGCCCGCACAGCAGGGCTGGTGGGCAGGGTCGCGTATTCTTGGCCTGTCAGCTCTTTTTTCTCTTGTAATGAGCGTCATCAGTCCTTCTGAGCTGCATTGAAGGCCGCCAGGATGCCCTGGGGGTCAGAGGGGGATGCGCAGGTGTTGGCAGACCACAGACACATTGGGAATGCGGGGCTGGTGACTCTGAGACATGCTGGGCGTGACAGCAGGGGGCTGCGCGGCCGTTGGCCCTTGCGACATCTCATACCACCTGGCCCGGCAGGCGGGCCGCAGCCCGCCTGCAGCCCGCCCTCGGACACGGCGCAGAGAGGCGTTGTAATTGAGGCAGGGTGCCGACCAAATGCCACGGCCTGGACTCCTGCGCTTGAGCTCACGCGGAGCCCATCCCTGTAGCCGCACGTACAGGCAATTGTGCAAATCACACGCGTATTGGGGCACTCACGCACACGCACACACACACACACACGCACACACCAACACACGCACCTCGAGCCTGTGCAGGTCGCTCAGGCTGAGTGAGCTGGTGTTGAACACCCGCAGCTTGGTCTTGTCCGCCAGCTGGGCCAGGTTGAGCTGGGCCAGAAAAGGATTGCATGTGGGAGAGGGCAAGATTGAATCTGAGCAGGTTCTGGTGAGTGGAAGTGCTTTGCTTTCTCTTTGTGTGTTTTGTTCGTGTTTTTGTGTGTGTGTGTGTGCGTGTGTCGGCTGTGCCTCCTAAGTGTGTATCATGTCTCTATGATGTGTGTTGTTTATACGAATAACACCTGCTTCTTCGACGATGGCATCGCTGTCATGCTCTCAGGGTGTCCACGCGTGTGCATGCCCCGCTCCACCCCCAAACAGACACACGCTACCCCAAACCCCGGATGCAGCAAACGCCCGTCGTCATCCCACTTTGTCTCAGCAGCTAGCGGCGCCGACGGCGCGCCGGGGCAGCCCCCGGGCCACACTGCAGCCGCCCGAGGTGTGCCAGTCGCCTCACCGAGGGCAGGAGGTCTCCCAGATTGAGGTTGGGGTGCGGTATGTTGAGGCTGAGGCTGGGCACCTCGGGCTTGGTGAGGTTGAGGGTGAAGGTGGGGAACTTGGCGTGGAGCGCCTCCAGCACGGGGCCGGACAGGGCGGTGGCGGTGCCGTTGATGAACGACTTCACCTGGGGGTGACGGGGGTTTGGTGGGGGCAGTGGGGTGGTAGCGGGTGGTATCGGGGGGTTTTGGGCAGCGTGCTCGTTACGAGGCAGGGGCAAAGGGCACTCATCCACACACGGTGGACGCAAGGGCTGGGACACCTCTGCAAAGTGCTCAAGACAGCCTTTCGCATCTGGCACCGCGTGGTCGTGAGTGCAGCTTCCCCATCGCTTTTCGCCACGCATGAAAAGTAAGTGCTGCTCAGGGTCCCGCCGCTCTGGTCGCAGGGGCTGCCGTTGCGCGAGTGCTTAAACCGAGAAGCAGCGCAATGCGAGACGCTGGTAGGCAGGGCCAGCGGCGCGCCAGACGGCCCGGGCCTGCTTTACAACCCTCCCTCCCCTGTCACCTCGTCCAGATGCGCCTTGAGGTCGATGGTGGGGATGGTGACGGCGGGGATGTGGGGGATGGTGAGGTTGGGCTTGAACAGCTCCGTGATGTTGCCCAGCAGCTCCACCTTGGCGTTGATGAGCTTCCCGACGTCTGTGCGGCGCGCGTGCGCGCGCGCGCGTGTGTGTGTGTCTGAGAGAGTCGAAGGGGTGCTGGGCAAGTGCGCGCGTATGCCTCGCAATGCACAGCACGCACAGCTTGCTGAGCGCAGAACCTCCTGTGAAGAGCTGCATGTCCAACCAGCCGTCATGGCCCAGCACAGCAAAATGGAGGCCGCCCAACAGAAGTGCAAGGGCGGCAGGCCCTGCAACGGCACGCCAGGATTGCGCACCAGGCAGGTCAAACTTGGGGAGCGCAAAGTTGAAGCTGGGGAGGTCGGGCTTCTTGAGGAGCTGCGAGTTTGGAGGGGTGATGGGGTCGTACATAACATGAATATGAATCCAATTATGTCCCGTAAATATGCATTCGGTGGAGCGAAAGGTGGAGGCAAGTGGAAAAGGCAGGCGACAGGAGCGGGTGCCCAACGCACCTGCACATCGCACACGGCAGAGTCCTGTCAAGTTTTTTGACATAGCGTGCGGTGCGCGGCCCGAACCGCACCTCGCACAAGGGGCCAACGCAAGGCAGGGTCTTGCCGGCCTTGCAGTTGCAGATGGTCCACCTGCGAGCAGGCAACAGCGGGGCGCATCGGTGCTTGGGGCGACAGCACGACATGTGCCTGCGCCTGCATGTGGAGCCACACCTTCTCAGCCAATCGTCAACGAACAAGCACAAACGCATGCACACACACAGTAAGGTAGGGGCTCACAGCTTTCCGGCGTACGCCCCGTTGCTGTCCCAGTGGCCAAGGGCATTGAGCGGCAGGCCGCCGGGGACGGGCTGCAGGCAGGGCAGGCCGAGCCAGGCCTTGGCGTCGGAGTCGACGTCCTCTGAGAGGGCCGAGACGGTGCCGACGCAGGCACCACTGATTGGGTCGCCGACGCAGCCCGGGACTGCGAGCTTGCAGCCGAGGTTCTTGCACTTGTTGAACTGCAATGGTTGGGGCAAAAGGAGGTGTAGGATTGTGCTTAAACGTGTGGGTCAAACCGGGGCAATGCACCAGCTAGCAGTCAATGGCCAGGTCATGCAAATGCCCAACCAGCACCAGCACAACCGTCACTTCCATGCGCACGGCCGCAGCGCCCCCCATTTGAAATCATTTGGCGCCGTCGCAGCCGCATCTCCCCCCTCTTGACCCCTGCCAGCCTCACAGCCCGGCCTCGCACTTTGGCCTTCGGCCCCCAATCACACCTTGTTGTGCAGGAACCCGTTGTTGGTGCCCCAGCAGAAAACGTCCTTGGCCATCACCTCAGACCCCAGGCCGTTCAGGTGGCACAGCGGCTGCGGTGGTGGGGCGTACAGAGAGGCGTTGGAAGAGCGGTTGGGTCTCATGACGGGAAGAGAGCGGTCCTCGGGCCCTGACCTGAACGCGCTACTGTAATACTTGCGCAAATGGTTGCAGACGACGGAAGCTTCCCCCCTCCAACTAACACACCCGCCCAACAGGCCTGCCTGTCTGCGGCCTTGGAAACAGCCATGTTCCTCATGCCGCACCAGTTGCCCAACACCCCTCCTTTCCATCGCGCACCTTCTTGCACTTGCCGGCCGACACGCAGCATCCGCCGATGCACTGGCCAGAGGTGAACGGGGTGATGGCCGGGCAGAATGCGGAGCCCTCCTTGGCGGTGACGTCACACTTGTCCTTGGCGGGCGGGCAGAGAGGCTCAGGCTCAGGCTCAGGCGCAGGCGTAGGCTCAGGCTCGCCGGGGGCGCCGGTGGGTGTGTTGACCTCGGGCGGGGGCTTCACGACCGGGACGCCAACCTTTGGCGGTGAGGGGCTGCGTGGGGGCGGATGCAGAAGCAGGCAAGTGGAGGGTGGGCGTGCGTCCTCGCTTGGAGAAAGGGAAGGTGATAAGGAGTCAACCAGTGCACTTTGAGTGCGGAATGCAACCCCAAAACATCCTAGACTTCACGCAGCTCTGCACAGTCTGAATACGCCAAGCACCTGTTGCCTATATCGCAAACCGTTGTGTGCACGCATTCATGCACACACATGCGCCATGCAAATGAACGCACACAGCTATCCTCCTGGAAAGCTACACACAGACACACAGTCTCGTGCGCGCGCGCACACACACACACACACCAAGCACACACAGGAGCAGGCAAGGTCACCGGGAGGCCCCTCACCAGACGGCAATGCCCCAGACAAACTGCAGCTGCTGCAGGCCGCCCTTGGACGGGGTCTTCCCGGCATAGAGGTCCTCGTAGCCCCTGACAGCTGCCAGGAAGCCGCCCGGCTTGTTGGCGGCAGACTCCTTGATGGGAGCCGTGCTCTTGGCATTGCCGATGGCCACGCTGTTGCTGGTCTTGTTGGTAAAGATCTTAATCCACTCGACACACTGCGGCGAGATGGGGCATGATAACTTCATTGATTGCCCTGGCTCACAATCCTCTCAAGCTGACGAGGCGCATGCAAAAGAGTCGCCGAGCCAGTACCTGTGGGTGCTGTGCGGACTGCCCGCCTCAGCGAATGCACACTGCTAGTTGCACTGCCCTGACTGCACCAGCAAGCGCGGTAAGGCCGCATGAGGAGCCCAGACTGGCGCGGCACCCCGGCCCCGGGCTCCTCCCCGACCTTGCTGCTGGCCTCCTTGAGCTGTATCTTGGTGATGTGCTCGTAGGGGGCCAGCGTGATGGACTGCTCAGCCAGGTTCTTCTCGGTCCCCAGCAGCTGGGCGTGCTTCGAGTCGTAGCCGTACGTGGCCTGGGGGACGACGACGGCGTGACAGCGCGCGTGACGCAGGTGAGGGG